AGCGGCAGTGCGCGGACGGGGAGTGGGACAGCGCCCCGCCGGCCTGCGAGCGGATCCCCCCGACTGGCCTTGAAGAAGCATTTGTGAGTAGAGGCCCTGCCACAGCAGCGTGTCCGGGGCCGGGCCACTCCTGACCCCCGGCCAGCAAATGTCTGTGCGACTTGGGCAGTGTTTTGGGGAGTACGGCACTTTATTTTTTCTTTTTGGTACCTGGGATCGAATTCGGGACCTTGCGCTTTCAAGGCAGGCTGTGGAACCCCTGAGCTAAAGCCCCCGCCCTGGGCAGGGTTTTTGAATGGGTTGGTCATGGCCTGGTTATAGAACGGGCCTCTTTTACACTATCTGCTCACATTCCTACATAAGGTCGTCCCCATCCACCACCATCATCCTGACGCCCTGGAAAGCCACGTTCCTAGGAGGCATTGCGTGCCTTACAGAATGAGGTACTTAAACTCAGTGCCTTCTCTCTGGGAGGCTGAGGCAGGAGGATACAAGTTCAAGCCCAGTCTGGGCAACTTAGAGACTCAGTGAGACCTTGTCTTAAAACAAAACAAAACAGAAACTTACTGCCTGAGATTATGTTATGAAAAGTTTCTAAAAATTCCTCTATAGTCCAACAAACAGATGAATGGATCTATTTTCCTTGAGACTCTTCCTCTAGTCCATATTCACTACTGGGGAAATATTAGGGAGTTTATTTAAATTTATCAAGAAAATGTAAATGATTGAGGGCCGGATCCCTCCTGAAGCTCCTTGTTCCCAGCTGCCGTTCAGAGCTGGTAACTGTTAAACAATGTTCTTTCTTTAGCTTGCCTTTCAGCAGAGCGAGGACCTGTGCGGTGCCACCGAGAACTTTATGAAGAGAGTAAAGGAAAATGGCTTAACAATGGAGGAGCTGAAATACTCGCTGGAGGTTAAGAAAGCTGAGCTGATGGCAAAAATGTCGGCAGAACAGCACAGTGGGGAAGACTGGTGACAGAAATGCTCTCACAAATACATTTTCCTCTTGGTTCTGAAATGGTTTCAGACTGTTTCTTATTATGCAATTTCATGATAGCCACTGGCATAACGCACTTGTGTGTGTGTGTGTGTGTGTGCGCACGCGCAAGTGCTGTCATAGTTAAGACGTGAAAAGACCAAGTTGGTTATTACAGAAGACCAGAGTTGGCAGCACACTGACGGAGATTGGACAGTTTAACTTCCTGTCTGAAAGGAGGAGGAAGCTTGCATCTCACCGAGTGTGTGCCTCATATTTTAATATGAATTAGGAGGCAAAAATTAACCCCAAGTTACTCAAAACACAGGAGGCAAAATTAACCTGGGCAGATCAGTTGCACCCTAAACAGATGATAGAGGCAGAAACAGGGTCACTTGCACATGGTTTAGGAAACCAGATTCCGGAGTGTTCTGCCGCAGTGCCACTTACTGCCTTTTGGATGAAACCAGTCCTGCGTCATCACCGGCTTCGAAGCGGGGAGCACAAGTGAATATAGTTTCTTTCGCTCTTTTTAAGGGCAGAAGCCAGTAGACTCTTAAGGCTTTCTTCCAAAATCCCATCCTGAGCTGATGCAGCAGGCTCCTTCCACTCCGCACACTGACCCCACCTGTAGCACACAAGGAATGTGGATAAAACATGTCTAAAATACAGAGGGCAGCTTGAAGCAGTGGACAATCTGTAGGTGAAGTTACAAAGGAAAACGAGACGTGGACTTTGAAGTGCTCAGAAGCCTCTGAATAGGCACAACACCAGGGTGCTCGGAAGGAAGCAGACCCTTCCCAGAGTACACTGCGCGACGGAAGCCGAGATGGGGGGCGGGGGTGCGGGGAAATTATCAAGGGACAGATCATAGTTATTTGTACCTTCAAAAATAAGATTCGTAGGCAAAGATTATGAAGCAGGATATTCCAAGTAGAAAGAATATTTTTACAGTGAAGTGAGAAGGAGCTGGGTGGGAATATACCTCATATTTTAACCAAGTAAATCCACACCTAGGATTAGTCTAACTGGAATATATTGATTTTAATTTGAAAATATTTAGTATAGTATTGTTATTACCGGCAACACACTGCGAGCATCTAAAACATCCAGTTGTAGAAAAAAAAATCTATTTTAGTATTTTGGGAGAGGGTAGGGCTTGCTCTGGAGTTCAGGCTGGCTTCGAACTCACTATGCAGCCCAGGGTGGTCTTGAACTCATGGTAATCCTCTTGCTTCAGCCTCTTGAGTGCTGGGATTATAGGCATGTGCCACCACCACAACTTCTTGTAGGAAAAATTTAAGTAATTTATGGCCCATCAAATGTTATGCAGCCTTTACAGTGATTATGAAAAAACATCTCGAAAATATAACAGGTGACACATAGAATAGGTACTTACGATCCATTTATATACAGTCTTTATTCTTATAAGAAAGGCCTGGGAAGTAACGAGCACAGGTGAAAACTGTTTTCATAGAATGTTGGACTCACCGGTACATACTTAGAGCTCTTAAAGAATTTTCATATTTTTAAATTCATGTTCGATGACGTTTGAGCCAGGAACAGTGGAACTCATGTGGAGGGCAGCGTGGAGACAAGGTTGGCATGGAGGAGCCACAGGGCGGCGAGAGAGCCGGCTGCAGAGACCACTCACAGCTGCAACACAGGGCTTTGCTGGCACGTTAGGGAACTCGCACCTGTTATTGCTAGGCAGTGAGCACACCTGGAAGACGTTCCAGAGGGAAAATGATAAGGACGGAACATAGAGCAAAATGCACCTCACGGTAGTGTGAGGTGTGATTGAGGTGGAAAAAGAACTGAGTCAGAGAATCCAGAGCAGTGTGTGGGGGGGGGGGCTGCAGCAACCATTCCCTGCTGTGGTCTCAGTGCCCCCCAAAGTCGACGCGTTGGGATCTAACCAAGCCCCAGTGCAGCAGGGTTGAGAGAAGGAAACTTGAGCAGGCACCTTGATCACCAGGATCGGTCTTGTTATTGAGCGCTTGTTACCACCAGAGCGGTCTCCTGATAGAGAAACCAGTTCAGCCCCTTCTACCTTTCAGCCATGCTTGCGTTCTCCTGCGCTCCAGCTTCCCGTGTGAGACGGTGCTGCAAGACAGCTGCCAGGTGCCGCCCCTCAGCTCTTCCCAGCCTCCAGAGCTACCAGAAATAAACATCTTCATTGTAAAGTACTCAGTCTCCAGCATTCTTTTACAGCAGCAGGAGACAGACTAGGACAGCCACGCAAGGGACAGTGTACCCTGAACTAGCTTGATGGCAGTAGGAATGGGAAAAAAGCAATAGAAATGAGCAACACTGTGAAACTCACATCAAAACAGCTTGCCACCAGGCATGGGGGCGCACACCTGTACCCCAGCTCTCGGAGGCTGAGGTGGGGTTTCAGGTTCAAGGCCAGCCTGGATACATAGGGAGCTCTGGTTCAGTCTGGACATAGAGCAAAACCCTGTCTCAGAAAACAAACAAAACTACTTGTCAACAGATTGAATGTTGGGGGGTTAGGGAAAGATGGAGTTTAAGGCAAGCCTGAAATTCCCCTATGAGGACCTAGATTCGATTTGGGATCACAAGAGAGCTACTGGGCAGGAGCTGAGCAGTTCCTCTCCAGATGTCCTGAATGTGAGGTACTTGCAACATGTCCACTGGCCAGCAAAAAATAAAAACCAAAGGGCTTGAGTTTAGGAGAGTAATGAGAGATAAACATGCAGGATGTTGAAGTCGTAGTGCTGGGAATAAAGCTGTGACAATAGGGACATTCTCCACCCACTGTACTTCCTTGGGACAGAACAGAGACCAGTGCCTGACAAGACCCTGCTCCCAGAGCCTCCATAAAACCTCTGGAGCTGGTGTTACAAGGAGCGGACCATTTTGGTGGAGTTTTCCTGCATGCTGCGGCAGTCAAGGTTTTCAGGGCAGCTGGGCTGGATCTTGCATAACCTGCTTGTGTTTATGAAAATAAAATGGAATACTGGTGTCCAATGCAAATTACATCTTCACTTAGGGGAAATGGTTGGCAGAGGATGAAATGATTGCAACACATAATCAAGAACGGGGCTAGTGAAGAGGAGGGAGATTAGATAACGACTGCAGCGCTGTCTCTGCTGTTAATCATTCACTGGGCCAGAGGAGTTTTTGCTCATCCGTCTTCATCCAGCTACCCCTGACCAGCCAACTGCGCAGCTAGAGTTCAGGGATTTCTTGGTAGAACAGTTACCAGCAGCTTCCGGACACTGTGCTCTTGGGAGGAACTAGGACGCTACGTACCGAGGCACCCAACAGAGCTTTTCCCTCTATTACTGCAGGTCAGTGGGTTCCCTGGGCAGCACTTGGGGCATCTGGAGGGAAAAGCTAGTGTTTTGGCCCTTTGAGAAGGACACTCAGAGACAAAAACTTGGATGTTTTCAGAAATCTTTGCAGGAGTATAGCATTAGGGAGTTACGCAACTGGAACAGTAATTTAACCCCCCTCAGCCTTAAATTTTTATTATAAATTGATGAGTAATAATGTGTTAATAAAATAAAGCAGAAAATAAGTGAAAGATGATATTATTCTTGTTATTGTACCTTAGAGATAGTGTGTTGACTGTTGATGTTCTTATTTTTGGCTTTTGAGACAGGGTCTCCCTGTGCAGTGTAGGCTGGCCTTGAACTCACTATGTAGCCCAGGCTGGCCTCAGACTTGTGGCGATCCTTCTGCCTCAGCCTCCCAAGTGGTGAGATTACAGGTGTGAGCTTCTATGCCTGGCCTGGTCTGTTGATTCTTTATGATATCTCCACATAAGAGTTTTGAGGCAAGAGGGACAAGACTTCTCAGAGGGGAACACAGGAGACTTGCTTGTCACAGTCTATACTCTGAAAATTGGTGTAATTTTTCTTGGAGATTTCATTAACTCCTCACTGACATCGAAGACAGCAAAGACCTTTAGATTTGGCAATGGGGAGTTGGCCTTCACTTTGTTTCTGAAGCTGGAGTCCTTAATTATCCTTCCTTTCCTTGTCTCCCTTGCCTTCCAGATCTGACATTGCCAATTACTCTTTCTTTTCGAAATTCTCTCCTCCTCTGGCCGGCCAGAACACAGCCCTACTCTGGTCCTCATTTTGGTTGTATCCTTACCGACTCCTATTCTGTCTCTGAGCACTATGGTGCCAGGGGAGGGAAAAGTAGCGTTTACGGACAAGCAGAGAGCACCAGATAAGGTTCCAATTAGGCTGAGAGATACTCTTGATGGTGACGTGAACATAGGAGGAGGGGGCTGAGAGAAGCAGATTCTAGGGTGGGGGAATAGCCCGGAAGCAGGTTCTTTCAGGAGTTTGGAAGCGATATGAATTGAGCCAAGGCATAAAAAGACATTCTACCCGAGACTAGACCTTTCCGGGGGTAGTCTGAATTTTAAAGGGGAATTTAGACAAAAGAAATGAATTAACTTACAAGATAATGGAAGCAGAAAATTGGGGAGTGAAGATTTTCCCAAACAACTCTCGTGTTTTCACAAAACACCCGGCATCTTCACTACAGTCCTTGAGCTGGTTTCACTTCTCTAAAAATTAAACCAGTGGTGTTGTTATTGAAGCATGCAGGAATTTGCTAGAGTGGCCTCGGCCTTTTAGGGAGCAATTACTGAATTGTGGAGCTTGTAGGAAATAAAATAGATCAGCTAAGTTGAATGTCGTCATTTTAGAGACGAGGAGACCAAGTTTGAAGGCGCTAGCGTCGCTCTTCAGGGGCACAGGCTTAGACTGCACCATTGCTATGACTCACGAGGCCTCCTCGACCAGCAGGTGCTCACGTGCAGCCCCATCATACTCTGTTCAGCTGAGCTCTGCTGGGAGACCCCAGAGCAGCTGGAAACTGAGCCAGATCACTCCTGAGAGCTCACGAGAGAGCTGGAACCTCTTACCACCTCTGTGCCAAAGCTAATGAGGCAGTTTACACACGCACCACACCCTTCAGCAGACAGGCGTTCTTACTCCGAAGAGGGAACTAAGCGGAGTTTTATTTTACATTTGCTGGGTCACTATTATACACAGAATACCAGGTTGGAGAACAGAAAGTTGAAGAAATATCACCCTGGTCTTCAAGGAAACTGCAATCTCTTTCAGGGGGCAGGAAAACAGACGGTTTGATCGAGGTTATCGGTGCGGTTGGCACACAAAGTACACGGGCTTTTCTTGGTGGAGCCGGGTGACTGTCCACCAAGGAGGTGGCCTTGAATCTGAACAGTGGAAAACAGAGAGATCAGAGGTGAGAGCATCCATGACAGAAGACATCATGTGCACAGCTGTGCAAATGCGGGCAGGTGCTCTCGAAAGTGCAGGAGGCGTTTTGAGAACGATCAGTACTTTCCTGGGATTTGAAGCACAGCACAGTTCTACTTGCAAAAGAGGGGTGCAGAGAGCTGGGAGAGGAGTGGGGACCCGTGGGAACTGGGGACCATGTCCATTGCCAAGCAGGGTGACATAGTTAAATTGCCTTTTTAAAGGTTTAATTGTATTGACAAGGAAGCTGGCCACACATATTTGGGAAATTCTGCAGTGATCTGGGGTGGGGTAAAGGAGATCATGCAAACTTCTCTGGACTGGAGAAGTGGCGTACAGGAGAGAGAAGCACATGCCCTGCACTGCCATGGCCACCCAGGCAGGACTCCGGCCACTGGGGACAAGGAAAGACACACAGACAAGCGGCAGGGTCAGGCTCCTAGTCCAGGAGGTTGGGTGGAAACGAAATTGTTACTTTAGCCAAGACAACAGGGAAGTCAAACTGTGGGAGGAAGAGAGTTGGAATACACTGGACACAGGGCGCCTGGCAGATGCAAATGAAATGAAATTCCAGTTCACTTCTAACAGGGTCAGAGTTTTAGTTTACATTTAGGATGCCAAGCGAAGGGAAACATGTGCTAATGTGAAGTACTTATAACTTTCAGAAAACAGAAATGTTATCTAAATATTACCCCAGACAAAAATTACTCTCCCAGACAACCAGCCAGAACTACAGACTTCTGTACGGTTAGAGGTTAAACGCGAGTGGCAAAGCAGCAACCTTCTCGCTGACCGCACAATCTAGGATTAACTCCTTGATTAGAAATATCCTTTGCAAAGTCTGTACTCTCCGTGCAGTATTATCACCTGCCGTCCACTCGCACAGGGGGGGAGGAATATCCGCCTTATTTTGCTAAGATTTCTTTCACTGACTTTGGAAAGATTTATCGACGTTTCAACTCAGCACAGAAATCCCACTAGTTAGCAACAGAACAGAGACGACGAGGCTCGAATGGCTTCAGAGTTGCATGTGGAAAGATTGAAAGAGGATAGCATAAGGAAACTATCAACAGTGAAAGTCACGGAGCGTGCAAGGCTGCACATCTACAGGAGCAGTCGGGCCCAGAGGACTGGGAGTGATCCACGTGTGATGATCGAAGTCACAGACAAGGACGGGTTCCTCCCAGAGGGACGGTTGAGCGGGAGGGAAGAAGCCCCAGGACAGCCTCTGGGGGCCTGGGGTCCCCGGCCCTGGCTCTCACTGTACCCAGACCCACGGGAGAGACAGACCAAGGCTTCTGGCCCCCAGCCCAGAGGGTTGTTCCTCCGCACTGGGGCGTGAAACCCTCTGGTGAGACAGCCACTCTTCTTATGATCCAGATCACTGTGATAAAGTTTTGGCTTCCAGGAGTTCTGCTTCTGGAGGGGGGCATTCAGCACCCACGCCATCATGCTGTTCTCTCGTCTCTCTTGAGTGTTCATGATGTACCAGCTGCACCCTCGGCTAAGCAACTCTGAGCGATCCCAAGGACGGGCAATCAGTATTATTGTTTTAAAAGGAGGAAATTAAAGCACGGTGGGGCTGAGTGTCTGCCGGCGGACACCCGATTCCTATGGCAGAACCAGGATTCCAGCCCACAGTCTGGGTGTTAGTCCACTCTGTGCTCCGCTGTTCCCAGCACTGTGGCTGACCCGAGATAGAGGAGGTGAACACGCTCTCTACTGGGGTGCAGCGTCTGTGCGTCTGCATTGAAGGGAGCAAAGCTCCCCTCTGTTCACTGCTCCCCTCTTCCACGCCTTCCCCACCCCCACAGGCTGGCAGATGATCGGGAGACGATGAAAAAGAGCTTGCAGTAAAATTGCTTGGATCACTTTTTCTTAAAACACAGACATGCCTTGCTTTAAAATCAGTTAAAATCCCTTGCCAAAGCTAACACCTAAGGGTAAAGATGGACACGGAACAGTGTTATTTTCCTTGGAAACATACTTTATCACTAGGTGCTTTTGGATTTACACTCAGCAGACATTTACCAAACAACTTTGACTCTTTGAGCCAGAGTTAGGTTCAAGACGGGTGGAAATGAACAGGAGCCACCTCGCACCCCAACGGTCTCCAGAGCTGGCGGCAAAGCCAGACTGCAGAAGTCAGTTGGAAACCAAGTCAGAATAAAAGTTAGGACCACGGAGCTCAACTTGGCCTGGAGGAGAAGGGAACGCGGGCCAAGGGACTGGCAGGACAAGCAGGAGCTGGAGCGGGAAGGGGTAGAGGGCAGATGATGTGAGCAGGAGTAAGAGGGAGGAAAGTGTTCGCAACCTGTGGAAACCTCAGCTCTCCAGGACATCCAGGACACAGGGGCTTGGGCCTAACTTCTGAAGACTTAGTCCCAGAGCCAGTTCAGTGAATATGGTTCCTGTAGGTCCCAGAATTCACTGAAACCAACTTCCCAAATTTATCAGATTACCAATTTACCAAACACTGAGGAATATTTATTTCAAAATACACAGTGATTATAAGTACATTCTTTTTGAATGTAGCAAATGGATATGTTTTGTTAAGAACCTGTTTAGATATTCTTCTTCTTCTATTTCTTGAAGCTAAAAATTTAATCTTAGAGCTGCATTTTGGTAATGCAGTCAGAATATATTTCTGAATATATTCCATGTATAAATTTTTCTTGTGAAAATAACAGCTGCAACAATTCATACGAGGAAATTTCACTTTGTATTGTTTTTCATTTTTTATAGTCAAGTTTTACTTAGCCAAGACAGCAGTATTTTTAATCTCTTCAGTTTCGCTGAAATTCAGTAAAATACCAACTACTGATTTGTCAGAAGCCAAAGAAACTTGTGGGTTTCATAGTTCATGATTGTTTTTATTGGAAAGGAGAAACTTACTACATTTTGTGAATTTCACAAATGATTTAGTGGGCTGATTTTTATGATATGCAACGTGCCGTCCCCAACCTCTTGAGACAATCTGGATTCATGTAGAACAAATTCTGCAAACATATTTCCAGTAAGCAAATTCATGTAGTCAGTTGTTTCACAGGTTGACTTAACGTTTGGCAGAATTGTCCCAGTGGCCACACATTAGGCTCATGGAACAAGGTGTGCATGGCATTGGGTGTTCACCCCATCAGTAGGTGGAGGAACAGCATCATGAGAACACCCGAGTGTTTATTGGATGAAGAGCTCATCTCTCTATACAGTGTGATTCACCACTGTAAATGACCCCCTCCATAATGTGGGGTAGAAACATCTCCAAGGGAGCTCCCTTTTTAAAGTGGAGATGGGTGGAGGTATGATTTAGGGACATATGGTGTCAGGTTTAGAGGTATAGGAATAAAAGACAAAATTCTATATTTTTTGGGGGGCTCAGCTTCACATATTCCTTGGAGAACAAAGACTTTCTAGTATGAACTGGGCACTTAGTGTGTTCTCTAACGGGGGAGGAAAGTAGCTGTAAAGAGGACAACTGTCCCCAGTGATTTCACTTGAAATACATTTTTTTCCCCTCTGCTAGGGGTGGAACCCAGAGGTTGCACACTGAGCTACATCTCCAGAGTTCTTTCATTTTAGCTTTGAGACAAGATCTAAGTTGCTAAATTGCCTGGGCTGCGCTTGACTTTGCAACCTTCCGGCCTTGGCCTACCAGATCCCTGAGATTACAGACGTTTGTCACCCTGCCCAGCTAGGCAGCCTTCCCTGTGAAGCCACTGCCGTTCTCCACTTGGAATTCATCTCTTTTTCTCGGCAGGAAGCTTGTGCAGAGTCAGCCCCCATTGCCTTGTGTTGTAACATTTGTGCTTCTGTGTTTTCTTCCAGTCTAAGCTGTGATTTCCTTGAAGACGTGGATGTGGTAGCATTTATCTTAGTGCTTTGTGACCAGTAGGAATTCAGTGACTGCTTATTAAATTGAGTTCTTTCAGCAGAAAAATGTCAGAGAGGCATCAAGTCACGTGCCCCCCAAGAGCTCCAAACGGGACCCTTCACAGAAAGGGTGCACTGAGAGTCTGGCCCTTCTCTATGCTGTGCGGAGTCCCCCGTCCAATTCTGTTCCAAATTACACTGGTCGCTTCTCTGTTGGCCACTGTTCTTGGTGAGTAGTGAGGAAGACGTCCCGAGGGCTAAGGAAAAATAGAGATCAGTCGCACTTTGCCAACTAACAAAGAGATGATTAAGCTTCTAGCCAAAACTGATGGCAACAAAGGGCGTTTGTTTTTATTTTTTGCCAGCTGGAATTTAGAGGAATTTGCTTTACACATGAAGGAAGCAGTTTTCTAGACATTTCCTCCCTAGAGTTTCTCCTCTGAGAATTTCCAAAGCAATCTATCTTCCAACCATGACTGAAATAGATCTGTGTTATCTGTCAGTCTGAATGAATGATTTTCACCACCTGCGGATTTGTCCAGCGTGGAGGGTGAAGTGTGTACTTCTGCTGGGGCTCTTCAAGGTAAATTGGTTCTGTATTTAATTTTTGTAAGGAAAGCAGAATTTTTATATTTCAACAACTCCATGCTTCATCCTCCATATTATTCAAAATCCAAAATTTGCAAAATATTTTAAAATATTATGTTTACCCATCTCTCAGCCACCCAATTTTCCTTTCCTGAGGCAACCAACATTATGTAAATGCTATTTTAATGAAATAATGCTTTTCTGTTGAGGCACACTTGTGAGGATTTCTGGCTTTCCTTTGATGCGTGTGTGGCAAGAGAAATAAATTACCTGATAGACTAATGAAATTTGTGTCTTTTATTCCTTTTAGATAAATTATCTCATATATATAGTGGAGAAGAGGTAAAATTTTATGCCTGTACCATTGTTATTTACCAACATACATACTCATCACTCTTAGATTCTTTGAACAAAGGGGATAATAGGAGTCATGATTTTCCTTGATTAGAGAAAAAAGGAATTATCCTTACTCTCACATCACCCTATTGAAGCCCAGATGTGGTGTCTGGAGATGTAATGTTTGGTGCTTCTCTCATTTTGGTGTCCAGGCAGATGTGGCCCCCCACCTATTTTATCCTTTGCTTCTCCAACAATGGAGCTGAACCAGACAGAGTTCGAAGCTGAAACTGTCCTGCGATACAGCTGCCGCCCTGGCTACTCCAGGAACACTTCAGTTCAGACTCTTACCTGTAAATATAACGGCCAGTGGAAGTATAATGTCTTCTGTGTCAGTAAGTATCGACCTTCTTCTTGTTTGTACTTTTCCCAGCTTTGTCATGTTGTCTCAGGATCTAAATTTCCTGAATCTAAGAAACCATCCAGTTTCTCAACTACTGATTTCAATACACATATGAGATTAAGTCTGTATTTTTTTTTTCAAAAGTACAAGTTCAGTGAGTCAAGATCAGAAATAAGTGTGGATCTAAACATGAGGGGCGTTTGGAAGCAGAGGTGGAAACTTACCGGTCATTCTTCTCTAATGCTGTATCCGTGAGTACGAGGCATCACTAATCATCATTTAAATTTTTCTCCCAGAGAAACGGTGCAGAAATCCAGGAGATTTACCTAATGGCATAGTGGAAATTAAGACAGATTTCTCCTTGGGATCGCAAATAGAATTCAGTTGTTTAGAAGGGTGAGTGTGAGATAATCTAGAAATAATACTTTTAAATTAATTTTAAAATAGCTAATGCATTCATATATTTCAAAACTTAAAATGTTCATATATTTTCAAAAAGGTATACATTCAGAATGCTCATCTCCACCCTGTCTCCATATACCCCACTTCTTCTTGTCTTCAGGCAAAGATTTCCTTTTATTATTTTATAGTATATCATTCTAGTGTTTCCTTCTACAAATATAAGGCAAGAAATTCTTATTTTTCTTATTGCTGAGATAAAATATCCTACACTCAAAGTTAAAGGGGCGAAAGGTTTATTGCAGCCCACAGACTGTAGAGGTTTCGGTCCATAGTGGGCTGGCGCCAAGGCAGGGCTACGTGGCAGAGGGGCATCACAGAGGAGAAACAGTTCATGGTGTGGCAGGCACAAGGCAGCAAAGCAGCAAGCAACAGCAGCAGCAAGCCTGCATGCCCATGCACTCCCCCCTTTCTCTCTCTCTCTCCCTCCCTCCCCCTTCTTCCCACCCTCCTCTTCTCCCTCTCTCTCTTTCTTTGTATTCCATCCAGGCTATAAGCCTATTGATTGTTGCTACCCACACCCAGGGTGAGGCTTCCAGTTTCCACACCCAGAACTATACTAATTTCAATCAGTGCAGTAATGTAGTACTACACACCCTTAATCCCAGTATCACACACTTAATCCACATTCACACACCCTAGATCCAGCTACCTCCAAAAAATCCCACCTATGAGCACACGAGGTTTTGGGGGGACATCAAATACAAGCCATAACAGAAATTAACATATATTTTAGTTTTTCTTATTTCTAATAATGAGCATAATTTTTAATTTTGCTTTGTTTTTGTATTTATCAGTACATATTGGAGATATTTCATATTTGTACATAAAATTTCCTCATTAAATTTTTGCAGATGTGTAGAATTTTATTCTGTAGATATGCACTGGTTCTGTGACACCCCTTGGCGGATCTAGTCTTTTGCAATATTGAACCATCCTTGGATGCATTACTCTGTGCCTATATAAATTTATACAAATGTAATTACACAATACCATTTTGCAGGATCCAATTTCCCCTTGATATCAGAATGAGTCACCCCTTCTTTGCAGAGTTGACAGGGATCAACTTGAAGTTTAATTTGGAAAGTCAAGCAAAACACAGGATGCCTGATTAAATTTGAATTTCATATGAACAACAAATAATTTTAGCCTAAGTATGCTCCATTTGATATTTGGATCACACTTAACCTAAAAGAATTGTCATTTACATGAAATTCAAATTTAACTTGAAAAGTAGGCATCCTATCTTTTTATTTGCTACATCCTGCTGTCTATGGTATAAACATTCCTCCATTGGAAACTAAGACTTCTACATCAATAGAGAATGTTGCTTACTTATACTTTTAGGATTACTGCGATTTCAGTAGCATCAAAGTATATGGTCCAATTTTTATTATTATTCCATAGGTTCTTCAAATGAAGATATATTTTTATTATAGTACACACAGTTTGGCATTATATATATATATATATATATATATATATTACATACACACATCAGGTACACACAGTTTCATTATATATATATATATATATATATATATATTACATACACACATCAGGTCTCTTTTGTTGATCTCTTTTGAGCATTTTATTGTAATTCTCTTTACAATTTAAACAAAGACTCATTTAAACTTATATAGTTTTCATAATTATTTCACATATTAAATAGTTAATGATAATTAATAGTGTGTTTTGACCACTTTTTTATATCCTATGTGTTTTATTTTATTAAAGCAACTGCTGCCTATTTTGGTAAAAATCTCTAGGTCTTCACTGAAAAATCAAAATTCTTAACATTTTAAAGTACCTATGTTTGTATAATTTAATAATCTTGTTCTGATGTCCATTCTGTGAGATATTTAAAATCATTGTTTTTGCCTTTCTTTTAGTTTGCATTTACCTGAGATAACATTGCCCTTCCTTTTATTTCTAATATGTTCAAAAACGTATCTAGGTTTTCTTCCTATATTCAACAAAGAGTTGAATTTGGTTCTAATTAAAAGCTCTGTTTTTGGGCTGGGGTTCTGCTGCCTGCCTCGCAAGTTAAGGTCTTGAGTTTGATCCCCAGTACCAAAAAAAAAAAAAAAAAAAAACGTTTT